TACTACTGGAAACTTACTCTGAGAATATACAAAAATCTTGTGTCCCTTTCCATTGACTTTATTGGCACTTGTTGTTCAGTCTGGATTCTAATAGTGAGGAAGGCAACCAGTATCAAATGAAGATAAACAAGCTGAAAGATTTTCTGTAAACAGAAGCTGAAAGTAGGTGAGAAAAACTGAGACCAAATAGAAACATACTCAGAAGGCAAGAAGAGCAAAAGTATTCTGAGTAGTATGAAAATCCATGAAGATCAAAAACAATCCAGACATACACTGTTATTTGACATTTGGGCTTATTCATGGTAGAAGTAATAGTGAGATGTTCAACCATTAAGCACTAACTGTTTGGCATCACTGCTTCAAAACACTAAGATCTCATGTCACCAGTAAGTCCCAGAAATGGCAATGACTAATTGTCCCATGCTGTGAAGAGGACAGCCAAAAGCACACCAAAGCTTTCCTCCAAAATCAGATACTGACTTTTTTTCTGTGGTCTCATCCAAGTCTGCTAACATCTCTGGGATAATTCCCTCAGACATGAGTCAGGAGAGTGCAGGGGTTACAGCCAGTGTGAGGGAAATCATACTTTGAGGTGAAAACATGTCCCCACTGGTCACAAGCTTTCCTTTATCTCATTTATCCTGGAGAAGGGTCTCAGCCAAAGACTGCCCTCCCTGTTCCCGCACACAAAAATTTTCCCTCATCTTCCCTCAGCCAAGGAACTCATACAGCAGCTCAGAGGGAGATTTGGGATGGAAGGTCTGATAAAGCAAAGTCACAACCATTTGCTGAAAGGGAGATCAACAGGAAAGAAAATTAAAATTATGCATAGTTGTGGTGAAACTCTACTAGTTTATAAGCAGGGTAAGCATCAAAGCTGTTCTCCATTCATTTTTGTGGTGAAAAGGTTGTAATTTAAGTATCCTTGACAGGTACACACAACCAAGCAGAAAGCTTATACTCAGTAAGTACTTATTTTTAGTTACATAAGAAGCTCCTACCTCTCTAATACAAAAAGGTTGACTTTACTGCAGGCATTGTGCTGCATATTTAAACTCTGTTGGAAACACAGCAGTGAAGAAAAAGGTCTAAAAATGAAAACAATCAACAGTTGCCAGCAGAAAAAGGGTACAACCCACCGGGGGCGGGGGGGGAGAGAAAAAAAAAAAGAAAAAAAAAAAAGAAAAAAGAAAAAAGTATTTCTTGTTCCTTGGAGGTTAGTGCAAGCTACTTGCAGTAATTAAAACCAACTCCGTTGACAACAGAGTAAGATGTTGTTTTCCAGGCAGAGGTAGAATTAATTACACTGTGCTAGATTGCATTTCTTGACTTCTGCTTTTTTCTTTCATTAGTCAAAAAGACACCACACAAAAAAATTATTGCCTTTATTTCAGAATCTGCCTTTTTAAAAAAAAAAAAAAAAAAGTACAGATGGGAAATAAAATTATTGAGGGTAAAAAGCTACCGAAATCTAGCTCTGAACTATATGGTCACTTTCCAGGCTATCTGTATATGCTGTGGAGGGGAGCAAGATTAATCACATGGAAACAGTCAGGTTGGAGGGGAGTACAGTGGGTCGTCTGGTCCAACCTCCCTGTTGAAGCAGGGTCATCCCAGAGCACATGGCACGGGACTGCATCCAGACGGTTCTTGAGCATCTCCAGTAAAGAAGACCACACAGCCTCTCTGGCCAATCTGTTCCAGTGCTCCGTCACTCCCACAGTAAAGTTCTTCCTCATATTCAGGTGGAAGATCCCGTGTGTAACTTTCTGCCCACTGCCTTTCATCCTGTTGCTTGGCACCACCAAGAAGAGCCTGGGTCCAATGTCCTGGCACCCACCCTTTAGATATTTATACACAAGGAGAACCCCTCTCAGGCGCCTCTTCTCGAGGCTGAACAGGACCTGTGAAGCTTATACAGAGATCAATTCCTGACAATCAATTTCATAGAATTAACTGGGTTGGAAGAGACCTCCGAGATCATCAAGTCCAACCCTTGATCCATCCCCAATGTGATTACTAGATCATGGCACTCAGTGCCACATCCAGCCTCATCTTAAAAACCTCCAGGGACGGTGAATCCACCACCTCTCTGGGTAGGCCATTCCAATGCCTGATCACTCTCTCTGTAAAGAACTTCTTTCTAATATCCAACCTAAACCTCCCTTGGCAGAGCTTAAGCCCGTGCCCTCTTGTCCTACTGCTGATTGCCTGGGAGAAGAGACCGACCCGCACCTGGCTACAGCCTCCTCTCAGGTAGTTGTAGAGAGTGATGAGGTCACCCCTGAGCCTCCTCTTCTCCAGGCTAAACAACCCCAGCTCCCTCAGCCTCTCCTTATGGGACTTGTGCTCAAGTCCCTTCATCAGCCTGTTTTTCCAATTTACTGTTGACCCACGTTCCCACGTCAGACCTCGGGAACCGGCAAGCCCTTCTCCCGCCCTCCACGGAACTCCCGCCCCCGCCGGGCGGTGCCGAAGGAGGAGGCGGTGCCCGCGCCCCGCTCTGGCACCGGGACACCAAGATGGCGGCGCCCGCGGCGAGGCGGGGGAGCTGAGGGAGTGCGCGCGCAGGTAACGGTCCCCCCGCCTGGCCGCGCCCTCGCCCCCCGCCCGCCGGGGCCGCCGCCGCCTCCCCCGCTGCCCGCGGCTTCCCGGGGCCCGCTCCATCGGTCTCCCTGCCCTGCCCGCGCCCAGCCGGCTCTCCCGGCGGCCTCGTGCCGCCGCCGCCGCTTCCCCCTTCCTCGACCCTCCCACCGTCACTCGCGCTTGCGGAGCGAGCTCCCTGCCCTGCCGCGGAGCTCCCCCTGCTCGCTTCTCCAGCGGCGGGACACCCCCACAGGGCTGAGTGAAACGTGCTGGCCTTCGCCAAGCAGTTCTCAGTACCTCAATTCAGTCTGCCGTGTGGTTACTGCATCTTTCCCAAAGTTCCCTGGGTCAGAGGAGGCTTAGGTTAGGTCTTAAGGAAAGGATCTTCGCCCAGAGGGTGGCTGTGCACTGGAACAGGCTCCCCGGGGGAAGTGGTCAGGGCACCAAGCCTGACAGAGTTCAGGAAGCGTTTGGATAATGCTCTCAGGCATATGGTGTGATTCTTGGGGTGTCCTGTGCAGGGCCAGGAGTTGGACTTTGAGGATCCTTGTGGGTCCTTTCCAGCTCAGGATATTCTATGGTTCTATGATTTCTTTATCTGTCAGACCAGCCCCTTCCTCCCTTCTCAACACACCTGCCGGAGCTGGACAGTTTTGGCTTGTAACCTGCTCCTTGTAAGACCCACGAAGTGCTGGTCTGAGATGCCCTTAGCTGGGGCGGGGAGGGGCACTCTGCTTGTCCTGGCCCCATGCACAGAGGCGTGGAAAGGCAAACCAGCTTAGTTCCACATCCTTTGGATTTGGTTGTCTTCTGTCCTGGCATGGCCCCATGCATGATGTGCTGATGATCGCGTCACTTGCTGTTCATCCCATGTTGGGGGGGGACCAAGACTGGGAACGGGAAGGACACTGCGGATCTCTTTCTCATCGTGGAATTACATGTGTTTGAATGAGCTTAGCTCTAGCGCTGTGACCATGGCTGCAGCCACTTTCCCACTCACTTTCACTTCCCTGACCCCTGCTCATGTGACCTGTATGGCCTAAGGTCACTGAAAAGTGTCCTGGCAGGCGTGACATTGACAGGTGGGCTTCTCTTGAGCTGTGCACAGCCATGGGGCTGTGTGCTTTCTGTGTCACAGAATCAGCTGAGTTGGAAAAGACCTCTGAGACTCTCAAGTTCAGCCTATGACCGAACACCACCATGTCAACTAGAACACAAGAACCAAGGGCCGTGTCCAGCCTTTTTTAAAAGATCGCCAGGCACAGTGACTCCACCACCTCCCTGGGCAGCCCATTCCAATGTTTAAACAGCCTTTCTGTGAAGAAGTTCTTCCTAATGTCCATTGTAAACCTCCCCTGGTGCAGCTTGAGACTATGTCCCCTCCGTCTCCTTTCAATGAAACATTATACATGAGTGTAACTGTTGTGCTTTAAAATACTTATTTTGTAAATCAGAAAAGCTGATTCCTTGCATAAGGAAGCACTCCTTTCCATTGTAAATTAAATCAAAGTAATATAAATAAGACATAAGTAATAAGGAAATAATTAATAAAAATAAGCAAAAAAACTGCAAAGTACTGATAGGCTGATTTTGAGATGAATGTGATGTTATGGAGGGGGGAGAAATTGGGTGTCTTCTGAATGACTCGTGCACCTGCACTGGGAATCCTGAGTACCATCCTGGATGTGTTATTACTACAAATGAGAGACATTTTAGAGATTAGCAAAAATTCAAAGCACTGATGTGACATAAGTGAAAAAATGTTCAGAAGAGTCTGCTTGGTAAGAAAGAGAGGAAAGGTGCAATTCTGTAGACAGGCAGTGAGGGTTTGTGTATGCATATATGGTGAATGTTAAAGGAAGTACAACTCCCACTAGCTTACTGGGGATCTGAATTAGGTGGTATAGCAATTATTTCTACTGATAACGTTGCTATCTTATGGGAAATGCATGAGTAAAACCTTTTCTTATCAGAGTTTCTCTACACAGAGATTTTAGTGATGTAACTTTGCTAGGAAAGTTATGAACTGACTGAAATAGCTAGCTTGGTACAAGCCAAGTGTATTGGCCAAAATTTGGAAAAAAAACCTACAAGAAGCAGCCACAGAGGACAGGAAATATTGATGTTTAAAAAAAAGCAAATTTTTTTTTTTTTAAATACTTAGGCGTCAAGATGAAGAAAAATCTCAGAGTAGGGGTCTCTTAACACTGTATTTCCTTCTGTAAAATCAGTAAATACCTGACTGAGACTGACCCCAAATATGCGGACTATTTGATCTTTCTCACATCTGAGTAGTTCTAGAAGATTTGCTCTAAGGCATACGAGGAGTTAACTGGATTTTTAACTGGAAGAGAATGCCTTAGCAAAGTAGTCGGTTCAGAATATCTAGTTGAAATCTACTAATTATAGTCATCCTCCCCCATCTCTTTTCAGTGGTGACAAATTCAGTATTTTTACAGGGTAATTTCATCCAACTTCCTCTTCTCTCTATTTCATTCTGAATTTTTACTAACACCCTGTTAGCCATCTTCTGTTCAGGCAACTGAGCTTCTTGAACCTTCAATTCACTGATTTGGCTTTTATGGCGGACTGAGTGCAAGAATTGTATTTTATTAGATAAGATGTCTTAACACAACGGTTTTGTTCCATACGAGGGCCACAGCTGGTTCTCTCTGCTAAAAAAATACATGCTTTTGTAATTCAGACACAGGAATAAAACGCAAATACCATGGAAAACAGGCGAGTAGTTCAAGTCAAGCTAAAATATGTTTCATAGCTACCAATTTTTTGTATAATTATCTTAATCACTGAATTCTTGTTATATATTGCAGACTGAAATACATATTTTTTTCCTTTCAGGTATCATAACCTTAAGAATGCAGTCGGTTTGTCAGAGAGTTGGCTCTTGTTCCTCATGTTTGAAGAGACAACTAAATGGCTTCCTGGGATTAATTAAATGGCAGAGAAGACTGGTTCCTGCTTGTGTGAGAACTATTTACAGTGAGACGGGGAAATGGGAAAAAAACTATGGGTTGGAGACAAGAAAAAGAGTTGAAAATTGGTGGCTTCCAAGAATAAAGGATGAGTTCTGCAGAATTTCAGAAACTGATGTAAGCATTATGAAAAATTTGGACATTACCTATTTGATATTTTTGTTTTCTTAGAATGAAATTAACTGAATCTTATTTAGTACAGTTGACTTATACTGATTAGATTTCAGGGAAAAATACTTTTATGTGATAGTAGGTTGTTAAAAAATATTGTTGAAATAGGTGGAAAACATAATTTTAAAATCTTCAGGAAAAAGACAGTGATAAGCAAAGTATGAACTTGACAATTTAGCAAGTGTTTGAGTGATCAATTCTTTCTTTGTATATTGTATCATATTTAGGAATTAATTATTTAAAGTATTAAACATCTTCTACGTTTGTAACTTTTAAAAACAATTTTCTCAAGGTTTTGTTCCCAAGGTTAAGACAAATCTATTATATTACACACTGTGACTCATTAAAATCTATGTTAAGGGAAAATTATTTTTTAATATTTTCTGGTTTACATCTCATAGGAGTAATAAGTGACTTGCAGGAGAAAAGTTTTCCCATGCAATAAAAGATCTTGAAAACAATGGTTTCTCAGTCTCTGACTCTTTTTACCTTCACAGTTATGCTCAGTCACGTTGCTTTAAAAACATTTTTTGCCCCTTCATGTTTTTTGTTCATCTATCTTAAAATGATCAAAAAAATTGTTCTTTTAAAATGTTGAAGAGAGAGAAGAGCTTTCTTTTTCTGGGAAAGAAAACTGAGATGGAAATTGTGTGCATGTATAGCGTAGCAGGGAAAACATTAATTTAGGCATGTGTCTTTGATACCTGGTTATACATGTCTATGTAGGTATCGTATATAGGATACATATGCTAAGTTCTAAATTGTATTTTTAATTATATTTTTGTTTTATCCTTACAGTTGAAGTAGGTTTAATAACATATTAAGAGGCAAATAGTGTATAGTGCTGCAATGAAGTATTCAGATTCTTTCTGATTTTGCTATAATTGGGCAAAAGTGATAAAGAAGTAATATTTGATAAATATGAATAGTATTTTATTCAGAATAGTAAAAGCTGCCCATATTTTTTTTCATTATTAATATAAGAAGAATAATCTGTGAATTTACCAAGCATCAGTGGTATCAGTGATAAATTCAGTCAGTGGTAGTCAAAATGTATTAGGAATAACTGATGTGAGAGATAATGTTTGATTTCATCGTAAGTTTTGTCATTTTACTCAAACCTAACTAAATGAAATGTTTACTTTCTTTTTATTATGTAAGATACTGCTTGTAAGATGTTTTTGGATCTGAGAGGACGTAGGGAAACTGAACAGTTTCAGTTTAGTAGATGTTCATGCAATTGCTAATGATTTAGTCACTCTGAGTTAACTGCAGTTCATCTGACAAGAAGTAACTGGCCGAGAGTCAGTTCTGTGTTTGTTGCAGATACAAAATAAACCAGTAATTATTTAAACTGTTATGAAGAAAATTTAATCTACTTTGTTTTTGGTTTTTTTTTGTGGGGCAGATTAAGATCACTTAGATCATCAGTTGCAGGTACTCTGGTAGGGAATGGTGGTTGGTTAAGCTTCAGTTCTGTTAATATAGCTTTTGTTGTTAGTAACAATTAATTTTCATAATATCCCAGTGCTGTATAAATGTGAATTGGAATTGATGAGATGGTGGAGAACACCTCCATTTAGGGCCCAAAGAATTTGATCCAATGAACTTTATCAGTGCTCACTTGGATCAGTTCCATACCGTGCAGTTTATAATGTGTACATGTATTTATTCAAGTGAAATGCTAACTCACGTAGTTACTAGTTTCTAAAAATTTCTTTCTAGAAATCAAGACCAAAATTTTATGTGCTTTCTATGTTCCCATATCCTTCTGGGAAGCTTCACATGGGCCATGTTCGTGTCTACACCATCAGTGATGCAGTAGCTCGGTTCCAGAAAATGAGAGGGATGCAGGTAAGAATAGATCAGCAGTAGGACCGAGGAGGGGGTGGGGGGCTTATGTTTTAATATTATAATTACTCAGGAAATGATTATTTTCCAAGATCTATGAAAGTGAAGATTTAGTTGGAATATATGCTACAGATGCCTAGAAAATGACCCGTGAAGCTTTGAATATTGAAATTCGAGACTTAAACAGGTGGTGTTCAAAACTCTGTTGGCAGCAGATGGTTAGAAACCGTCTCAGATGATACAGCTGATGCTGTGTCAGTTACCTGAACCTGCTGATGTATGGCACAGTGTCGATGGGCAGCGTGGGCCACACTGTTTCTGTGAGAGGAGACTGCAGACCCTACTGCCCTCCGGGTGGGACTCGGGGGGAGGAAGAGGTGTAGCTGACGAGAGAAAACTGGGACACCACAGAAGGCAACTGCTTTCACCTCTTCTGCTCCCGAGAACCAGTTGATGTCATTTGTCAGACTCAGAGGAGCACCCTGCCATCTGGGAGGGAAACCCTTTTTCTTGACTGCCACAAGTCAGATGAACAGGATCATGTCAAGCGTCACATCATGTGGGTGTAACTAGAAGTTTCTGTTCTGTAGCGTCTGACTCCTTGGCTTGCCCATTTCAACCTTCCTCATATATACGAAGTGTTGTCCTCTGAAGGTACAAGTCTTTGAGGTAGGCTAAGCCTAACTTTCTTGCTACATCTGCAAGGAGAAATCCCATTTTCCCTTCCATATTCCTCTGTTTCCCAGTCTGGCCCATGCCTGCCATAGTTTCTGGCTCACTCCCTTCTGTCCGTCCGTTGCGTAGAAGTAGTGTAGCTGAGAGCCTGGTCCCTGCAGTCTGCAGTGGGATCCTAACTGGCATTCTGCACTAAAGGCTGGCGGGTAGAATTTGAAGGATGTAAGGAAGGTGTGGGAAAACTGCGGTCTAAGTGACAACCATATTACAGAAGAAAGACATTTGGTAAGGGGAAAATGTTAAGAATCTGGGAAAGAGTAGGAAGGAGGAATATGGAAAAAGAAGGGAGTAAAAGGAAAAAAATAGCCATAGGCAAGAATCTAGGATGACACACTGAGGAATTTTCTCAAATGTACAAGAGAGAAGGAGCAGCTCAAGATTTTAGGAATCAACCTCATAAGAGTACAAAGAAGATGAAATGGAGAAAGTAATGTTAGTTGTTGGTTGAGGTACTAAGTGCAATTTCCTTGCCACAAATGCTGTAGAAGTGTAGCATTTCCTGGATTTATCACCATCCATGAGACTGATAGGTATCGTCGCTGAATTATTCAGTGTGCTGCCTTTCCAAATACTATATATTTTATGCCAGGGATGAACATACCATGCACTGAATACATGCTTTAGAGAAATACATTCTTATGCTTTCAAAATTACAGGAAAAATTACAGGAAAAAGAAATAACTGCCTTAGACTTTAAATGAGGAAAAAACCAATAATGTCTGTTTTAACACTAATCTTTCCTAACTCCTCTGAACGACAGAAACTTGAATCTCCATTAAAAAATGAGCTAATGAGGCATTTGATTCTTGGTTGATGTTAAGACTATTGATGACATGTCTTATCAATAGCAGTGAAGATAGCCACTACATTTCTGTTCAGAAAAATGAAAAATGAAAACTTGCTTTCTCTTATACTACCTAAAATAAAGCGAAAATAATTGTCTACAACAAATAGCATGTTCTACTTGTAATCTTTTAAAGATAAGGTAAGTAAGCACCTGTTATAGAAACCTTTGGAGAAAAGTAAAAAGAAAATGTACAAGAGGCACTGTGCAAACAAGTTTTTATTTCCACATTTACCCATTTTTTTCTAGAAAAGTTTTGAAAGGCTTTTCAAGTTTTTACATCTTGCATTTCAGCTTATTTTTATATTTCATGTAAAAATTACTTTGAAGTATATTGGAGTGCCTATAGGACATGCTGGATTTCTATAAATACTTGTATCTTCTGTTATGTTAACCAGTTTGAACATCTATTTTTGACTAAAGGTGGGCAGCCATAGAATTTAACCTTCATTTACGATTAAGAGACATTAAAAATCTCTCAGATGATTTTCTGAGTATGTCAGAGTAAGAGGTACTATGTTAGTGATGTACGTTAATTTGCTGAAACTTAATCTTAAAAGAACTTTTTCTTCATTACCCATGCTAATTACTTTATTACTTAGCATTAAAGCCTTTATAATTGATTTTCTCCTTGCAATTTATTTATGAGCCTCTAGAAGTGTTCTCTGCCCTTTGTCATGGTTCTACAATCTGTTAAAGATTCCTTTATTGTGGTGGTTTTAGGCTATGACATGGTTATATAATAAAATTTGATATTCCCAAGAAAAATTATTTTTCCCTGTATTCAAGGAATTACTGGAATTCTTCAGTACATAAAAAAAGAGAATACTCTAGAAACTAAACTGTTAGTATGCACAATTTTTAAGTTATTCCATTGATTTTCTTTCTCAAAATTCAGCTTTAACATTGCATGTTTCGAAGCTAAGGGACTTCTAATTTTTCCTCTGTTAAAAATCTAGGTAGAAAGTAGAAGTGAATCCATTTCAGGTATTCAAGGCAAGTTTAGGATAAGATTTTTGAGTAGCAATGTTGTTTAAACTTTGCTTCCATCATTTTCAAATTAAAAAAAAAAAGGGAAGAATCTCTACACAGATATGTAGAACTCACCCTGGTTAGCAAGTCGTAAAAATTGTGCTAGAAGCAATGCAGACAGATTGAAAGTGTAAAGTAATGAGGAATGATGGGCTGTCATCATGAAAATTACAGGCAAAACCATTCAGACTTTCAGTTCCCAGGGAAAACTTCAGGCTACAGTGTATATTTGTTATTTAATAAACAGTGAGGGAAAATGTGTATGGTGTGTACATAGTTCAGAATATGTGGTTGAGTAAGAGAGCAAATTATATTAAATAAGGTGGAGGTCTTAATGAGAAAACAGTAATAAGTTTCATATCGATTTAATCTGAACAGGCAAGAATTGGCCTATTTTTTGTAATATTTAAGCAAGGATAAACGAATACATTTACAAAGGGATTAGAGGTCCTTTAGAACTTCTTTGGAATGCAGTTGTGTAGTTTCTTCATATCGGAGGTAGTTTATATACATATATACACGTATATATATGTGTATATATGTATATTCACATAAAGAGTAGGATAGGAATAGTAGGTTTCACTGGGAAAGTTTTAAATAATTTGATTTATTTTGTTGTTTTTCTAAAATGGAACGTTAATATTCAATTTTTTTCAGCTGGATAAGATCTGATTTTGTTTCAATTAAACTATTTTAGAGAAGCAGTACACACTGAAATCTACTGATATTTGCCAGATACCTGTACTTCACCAGCACTTTAAGTGGGAGAATAAATATTTGTTGCTCTTTTCCCTACCTTGTTTTTGAAAGAAATACTGCTGCAATATAAAACTGTAGATGAAAGTATTGCGAGGCATTGTCTTGTTCCAGCACTCCTCAAGGACCTGTAGGCAGTGCATGGGAAACAAAACTGTCATGCAGTTGGATTGAGTTGCTGGATAAATGATTTGTAGAGTACATCTGTTATAACTTGTTTACATTCTGATTACTGAAGATGAAGTTTGAAGTCTTTGCGTGGGAAATGTAAACCATATAGATTACTTCACATAGCTAGGCTCTTTCCAAAATGTGTTAAGGGTGACATTTTTCTTGAAATATAATTAAAACACTTCTTTTGTATGGAGAGTTCTAGATCTTATTGAAAAGATTTCTTATATTTCTTATAAAATGCTATGAAAAAGTAAATGGTACATTTTAAATTACAAACTTGTATCTATTAATAAACCATTCCAGGACTATTATGTGCAGTTTCTGGTGGTGTTTTCTTCATGTGAATTTCCATGCATGTTTTGAATTCAAATGTAGTTTTCTGAGAAGTTAAGAGATTTCCTATTCGTTATTTGAGAGTGCTGTGTACAAGTTATAGACATATTCATGGTGATTTTCACTATGGCAGATTTCCAGTCTGCTGGTGCTCTGGGAACAAGTATTTACCATTACTTTTATGATGCTATCATTATCATGTCTTTGATAAATATCAAAGTGGATAATTTGTGCCTCTCAGAGGACTGAGAATAATTCCCTTAGCGATCAGTAAACAGAGAGTGATTCAGTTCAATAGTTCTTGTGATATGTTTTTAATGAAATTGATACTACAGGGGGTGTGAGAGTTGTAGAGAAATCAGAACAATCATTGGACAATTCAGGGTGACATTCCTGCATGCTGGAATCACATTTCTTAATTTATACTTAAACTGGTCTTGATAGATGGGATTAGAATATTGTCAGTGATATTTCCACAATATCCCCAAATGACTTAGAGCGTTTTCGTTTTATCCATAACATCTCTTCTTTAAATTGAATGTATTTTCATTAATTGTTTTCCCTTTCAGCAGTGAATCTTATTACTCTTGAAATTGCAAAAGTGAATGGTATTGAAGACAGACAGGCAAGTTTAATTAAAACTTTATAATTAATTCATCAGTAGGATGAATTATTTCAATACAGATCCATTTTCTGATCATCATTAGCTGCTGTTCGCCACCTTTTTTACGTGAGGCTGCTGTGTCCTTTTGTCAGGTTATTTCATGTGGTATAAATCAAGTGGAAAATATTACAAGTATCGTGTGTGAATTTAATCTTATTAAATTTTAGTTTTCCTGTAGCAAGTACTGAAGGTGTTAATGAGCTCACTGTTTCATTTTTGAAAGAAAAAGAGAAAACGAGATGTAATTTTAAATGCAATTATGTTAGACTAGAATGTGTGAGATTTAGGAGGCAAGAGAACTTTGTTCTCAAAATGTTTATGGTAGTGTGTGGACATAGAATAATTTTTTGTATTTTGTCAGAATAAATAAATGAGGGCGTTTAATGTTTTGATCGAAATCTATGTGGGTTAATTATTTTTTAATTTGAAAGTGCCTTTTCAGAATGCTAATATGCAGCATTGTGTTGCAGAGAAGTACTGAAATAGTCTTTGAAATAGAATAGATTGTACACACTGGTCAAAAATTAATTATTTTAATCTATATCCAGGTGTGCCTTGTCTGCTTGGGCTTTTTGTTTTTTGTTTGGTGGTTGTAATTTTTACCTGTTGTGTAACAGTATTTATTACCTGATACACTTAAAAGACAATCGAGGCTGGATTCAGGTGGAGGTCTTGTATTTAAAATGTGTTATATCTGTAATATGGCAATTTACAAATCATATTTGCAACAAGTTCAGCCCAACTGTAGGCAGCCAGTGGAAGGAGCAGCTGTCCTCATCACTAATTTGTCAGCAAACCTCTTAGTTTTCATTTGTGGTTGTCTTTTTTTATGACACATTCTCTAAAATAAATATATTTGTTTGGAGACCTTTTTGACATAGATTCTACTGCCTTTCTTAAAATTTAGAATGCATCGATTTGGATGTAAGAACGATACATCAGCTCCCTGGTCATGATTCTGAGACATACCGAGCACATCATGAGAGCAAATGTGTTTTTGTTTCCTTACAAAGAAAATTCACTGAATTGCCAGTCGTAGTTATGTTGATGGAGGCTTAGAACTGAGATAATTGTCAGCTCTGTGTTATATAGCACACTGATCTCACCTACTAATTGTCAGTGTGATGAGCTGATCGTTACAGCAGTGAATAGATGAAAATCCTCTGAAAGGAAGAGCTGAGATCTCAGAAATGAATTAATGGAGTTACTGTGTCTTCCTCAACTTGGTCCCACACTCACATTAAGAACTCTAGCCATCTTTATCAACAGATTTTTGGCTGTGCTGTGAAATGATTCTTAAGCAAAGCTTGGAGCTAATTTTGAGTCAGTCTTTAGGATTTAAACGTTTCAAGATGCAACTGTTTATCATTTTAATAATCTGTGTCTGAAAAGAGCACTTGGTGTGGTAGTCGCTGAACATTTTATTCCCCACACACTATATAGTTGTCTCTGTGGAACTTTTTATGTTCCTGTGCAAAACGTGTTAAGTGGCAGAAAGTGCCCCTCATTCATAGTTGAACCTGCCTGATAATGTGAACTTCAAAGATCTTAAATTATGTAATCTAGCTGAAACTATAGCCTGCCTTCTTTTGCCAGGTATAGGCATCCTTACACTTATGCAGGCCTCCTGCTTTATTAGATATAGTCATTAAATATTTTTCTTTCTCCTTGAGGCGTAGAGAAAATATTGTTTGCACAAAGAAGTGATACTTGGAAAAATGGTCGCTCTGGTGATCAGAATTGATCTCTCAGTTGCATAAGGTTTAGAGGCTGCTGTCAGAAGCAATCAAGTCAGCATTCAAGAAAGCAGATGACTTGTTTTTCTTCTCATCTGTAATGCTAGAGGGACCAGCCATATTTTCTGCTAGTTAGAGCCTATGACCAACCCATCAAGGAGCTGCAAGGAATACCCTTTGGTCTTCAATATTGCTTTCTATTTTTTTCTTCCTATTTTTGTTTTGAACAGTTGAACTGTTCCTTTTTCCTTTGTGCCAACTTTTGACATGTTAGTTGTATATTTTCTTTTCCTCTTCTGTGTCTCTTGAGATTTTTGACATGTTTTGTGTTGGATTAGTAGAGTTAAGATGTAATGCCAAATGCTCTGCAGAGGCTGTGACATTTTAGCTGCAGGTTACAACCAGAAGGAGCTGACCTGTTGTTTAGACAAATGCATTTCACAAACCTTTCAAATCCATTCATGACAGAGAAGTAAAAGAGACAATAAACTTGAAATAATTTTCTAAACCACTGTGCATGTTACATTCATCTCTATAGCAACTACATAAATAGATCTATCCTGAAGATTAATTTGAGGATATTTTTAATGTCTCTTTGAATTCTGTTTTCTTATTGAAACTTGAATTAGCATACTTCATTAAATTGAACTTTTGAATGTGAAGAGTGAATATGATATTTTTAATAAATGCTAAAATTTGGAAGATCTGTATGCACAGGTTACTGCTTCTAGCCCTGATGGTACAGTGATAAAATGTCTGCACATTAACTGTCTGGAGCATCCGTCAGCCCTTTTGGGGAGTCTGTAGCTGGTAGTGAAGTTGTTTTTCCCATATCTTTTTGCTTGTGAGTGTGAGAAATGAGATTCTGCCTTGCTTTTGGCTGCCTGTCTATATCCAGGAGGTGTTCAGAAGCCAGATTTTACAAAAATTACCCAAGAGTGTTTTTTCTAATCTCACTTAATGTGCATCAGCTTGTAGTAAAAGAAGGCAGTTGTAGGGATCGCAGAATCAACAAAAGGGGATTAATAGAGAAAATGTGTTTTATACATGGAAAAAAAAAATCTGGTTTGCTTAATCATGTCTGTCGGGAGACAGGTCATCAGCAATAGTAGTAGTCAAAAAAACTGAGCTGCATAAATTAGTATTTTAATGTGTCCTTACAAAAATATATTGAGATTTATAGTTTATGTAAAGTTTACTGTCTTTTTTTTTTTTTTCTTCTATACCAGTAGTTTTGACTGCTAGTTGGGGGGCTGGGGAGGAGAAGAGCTGGGGAGAGGTGTGCTTCAACACAGTGTTGAGAAGTGGTTTTATGCTCCAATTGAGATTTACCATGTAACACTCCCTGCTCTGTAATGGAGGGAAGTAGGAAGTTAGCACTTATATTTTCTGATACTGTGATGTGAGGAACAATAATTTGACTGATAATAGGGAAAATTTGTAACACGGGATAGCAGTTTAATTTCTGTTAGATTTAGACATCAAAAATGTGCTGTGCATGGACCCTTGTCGTGCTGGCTTGGATCACATGTGATCACAGGTTAATACCTTCAGTTTTGTTGCTGCACCAGTACAGTAATGATATACAGCAGGTTTAGTTTTAGATCAGTGTTGAATCAAGAATACTGAGGAGTCATATCTGTTAAATCCTGTTGCTTTTACGCTGTGTTGGTGCCTAGGACATCTTTATAAACACATATATAAAATATTTTTTATGAATGATTGCATTAAGTCAGAGGATTAGAAGGTGGTGGTGAAGAAGAATAAAAATAATTCAAATCAGTGACAAAAGGAGCTCTTATACTTCCTAAACGAGCAGATTTTTCACATGAAGGTAGATTATGAGATCAGTATGGCTGGGATTGCTTTTTTATTGCTTCTTTGCTTATGTCTCACTAAGGAACAAGTTCTTCATATAAATACATATTTTAAGAAGTAAAAATTTTGTTTTCTTACAACTTAGAAAATGGTAGTCATGTTTTGCTATTGTTAAACTTGTGTAACTTTAAATTGTGATTATTGAATTTATAGCACATTTGTATGTTTAAGAAATAGGATTGGTTTTATTTGGTATCCAATATGTATGTGTTTATTGACAGCATCTTAAGTACTGGCCTTTCTTTCCCTGGTTGCTAAACAAGTTTTTTGAATGCTTACTGTACTGTTAGATTATTTTTCAAAATAATTTTCATGCTAATAGGAAAGATATATCTCTATTTCATCAGAAATTATTTATGTTATATTTTGCAGTAAACTTTTCCTCCCCTGTTATTTGTGGTCATGAAATACAATTTGTTAGTTTGTAGTCTATCTTTGCAGAAAATATTATAGTAAAATTTGACTAAAACTGTTTTCTTCATCATCTTAATTTTATTTGGTGCATTTAAGGTTATTGTAGGGTATTTTTCTTTTTTTCTTCAATGCAATAAAAAATAATAGGGTACACATCAGTGTATTACAGTTATAAAAGTTTATTATTTTTACTTGTTTTCATTTTTAGAATGAATATTTGATGCTGTCCAGCAGTAGCATAAACTGCTGATTTTGACCACCACAAAAATGTACAAAGGGTTCATTTTTTTTATCATCAACCTGGTGTTGAAATAGTCATGAGGAGTTATTGCATAATACTTCAAGCTCCCTCTAACATCTCATTGCAGATAGCAAGTATGCTTCATGGTCATCTTTTCAAGCAAAGCTAGCCCTAGCTGGCAGGTTTGGAAGAGGTTCAACTCAGACAAAGCAATTGCTGAAATGCAAAGCATCGTTCATTATTTGGAGTCTTGTGTCTGTTGCTGATGCCATTCCAGAAAGTTGCATAACATTGTGTTTTTCTTCTTTGTTGCTGACAGGTGATAAATCCAATGGGATGGGATGCATTTGGTTTACCAGCAGAAAATGCTGCAGTTGAGCATGGCCTTCATCCTGCAAGCTGGACAGAAAGGTAGTTTTTAATGAATTGAAATATGACATTTCCATGGGGGATACCTGTACTGTGGCCCCCATAAACCAACAAACCAGAGCAAAAACAGCATAGAAGGAAGACAGTACAGAAAGAATCAGGGTTATCCAGGACCAAAGTTATTTGACAATATTTTATGGGACTGTGGAGATGATTCAGTTTTGAAAAATAAATATATTGTAATGATTTTCAAGGTTTTAATCTCAAGGACTTTTAAATTGTAAAGTGGTAGAGTATCAAAAGAGAGACATTTCCCAAACACCAAATAGGTTAGTAAGAAATAAATCAGAATTTCATTAGGGTGAGGTAAATCTTAGTATAGAATACACAGTTAAAGATTCTAGTCTAGGTGGCTAGATTTACTAGCAGTTTTCAGTACCATGCAAAAGAGGAAGGAGATAGATTTTTTGTTTCAGGCTGGGTCTTAGAATGTGCTAAGCAACCATTATCGCTGCTGCTTTCTGTGAACATCTTAGACTTCAGACCACAGAATTGGGTGTTATATTCCCCTAATATGCTTCAAAATTAGGAAAAATTATATAAGTAAACACTTTCTGTAAGTGACTTGGAAACCAATCTTGCAAAGTGAAGCTGTTTGTTGTGCTCTGGATGCAGTAATCTAGCTGTGGTACCTTTTTAGACCTTGATCCATTTCCTTCCTTGATAATGCTGTTTCTTTGGGTTTTTTTCATGCTTCTGGTCCCATCTTAAGATACTTGATACTTTTCCAGCAAAAATGTGATGGCCACTGATTTAACTTAGGGAGAATGGATGTGGGCACTACACTCAAATTCTGTGTTACTTATGCTCAATTTCTTAAAATTGCCTTTATGTATTATTTAGAAAGAGTAAGCCTGAAAACCATTTGCCGTGAAGACACAAAAACCTGGTTTTGTTCATTTGAGGGAGTCTGAAAAATCCCTCAGTGTGTTGTGGGCTATCAGTTATACTGTAGCACGGTCAGTAAATCTTTGATTTCTGTCTTCCTTCAATAAGCCTACAGAAGCTCAGCTGTAAAACAAATCTATGTTATCTGTTACATGAGTGTCTCATTTTTACCTCAATTATCTTGATGGAAACTTCACCAGATAGAGCATTACTCTGATCCTTCCCTACCTGTCAAATGAGGCACAGAGAAGTGGAGGTTGTCATTTTGAGACAACGCGGCTGACATTAAATACTTGCTGACAGCTGAAGGGTTAGTGTTTTCCCCTTCTTCCTGCTGCATGGTCTACCTATTATAGTGGCTTTGGCACTCGAAGGGCACCTTGCTGAACTGACTCAGCTTGCCAGCTCAGAGGAAAGCCATTCTGCCAGCTGACCCGAGTTGAATTGGCTCAAGGGAAAAGCAGTGAGCGTGGGGGGCAGAGACTTGTGCAATAGCAAGGAACTGCATCAGCTCAGCCTGTCTCATCTTAGCAGTTTGTCTAGTTCATATCAAAAAACATGTGTCAGAGCACAGCCTGAGCTGATTACCTTCTGCTACTTTCTGTGCTCTTCTGTTTTTCTCTTTTGTTGTAAATGGGTGTGTATTGTTGCATATCCTTTAAGCAATTCAGCTAGTTAGTTGCAAGGACAAGATGTTTTATACTGGAGAAAAGTTTCGCTTGGAAAGTTTCCTTAGTACTGAAAAGAGCAATTATCTAGTTTTAAGAGTTAGATATAACAAAGAAACTGAGAAAAGATAGCACATCATAATTGGAACTTATTACAGCAGCATCCAAATAGAAAAATTATATACATACCTAATTTTTTTGGATTATGCTAAGGAAAGGAGTTGGTTCATCATACAGGCAATTTAAATTCTGACCGCTGAAGTAACTGGTGTCTCCCATTTTCTCCACTGACCCTGTCCCAAATATTTTTCGTGCCTGCAACAGGGATGAACTGAACTGAACATGAAGCTGTGGCATCAACCTGATGTGTTTTAGTCATCCCGGGTGCAGACATAGCTGTCCCTGTAAAAGGGGGCACACTAACAATTTCAGTTTGTTTTTTTCAGGAGCAAGCAACCGAATTTCAGAGCATCTTGATTTTCTGAAGGGGTGATTTCAAATTAACTTAAATTGACTATTATTCTTATATTCTCAAAGATAGGAAAAAACATAAAACAAATTGAAGACAGAGTTATTTATACAAACAGAAAATTTTGTTGGCATGAGTAAGTATAGCAGCAGAAACTTTGTGAAAATTACTCAAATTTTATTTTTTTTTAATCAATACTGATAATTTTGAATGGGACTTTAATTAAAGCAGCACTACTGAAAGTGTGGTTTCTTCCAGTGAAAGCCATGAGTCCATAAGAGGATTTCCTGGTATATCCAAACCAGAAAAGATAGCTTACTAGAAAAGGCAGGCCTTTTCCAGGTACTAAATACTTGCATTACTCAGTTATTCAGCAGTGCAAGTTTGCTCTGGATCAGAATTAAATGCTTGATTTCATGACTGTCAACTTAGTCACTGTGGGAGGATAGATGCTACTTTATCAGACATAATGCATTTCAGTAGAAAGGTAAAAGTCCATAAGAAATTTTAACCAATGTTACAGTATGTGAATGACTTCACACCAGGTCACTAATTAGTGTTGTCTAATTGTGGGTACTTTAGTAAACTATATTTACTAAATTTTCAAACTAAAGCTTCACTGTATATTCTGCTGCATCTTATTTTACATTTGCAATATTACTGATCTGGGACAACATCTAGCCCTGTTTAACCCTACGGTTTCACAGTTGACTTAGGTTTTCTGCTGCCACCAGAAGTTTAGAAGTTCCTTGTTACCTCCCAGGATATATGTTCCCACCACCTCCTCTGTATTTGCTCAGCTGTTTTTGTGGCCCACAGTCTTGGTTTGATCAGCCTGTTGATCAGAGGGAAGAAAGAAAACTGGTGGGGGTTTTTTTGGAAACTTTTTGTAGGGTGTGTGTTCAGTTGAATGGGTAAGCTGATTCAAGTCATCCTATAGGCACACGATCACCAGAGCCACAGCAAAATACAGCCAGGATAGCATTGCCAGGATAGAGCAGGATTAAGCTGATGGTGGAAGTGCATCCTACTGCATCAAGATTTCAGAGGGTCCTGTGGCTCAACTGCAGTGCAGATAATTAAAAATAATGAGAAGTGATGCTTCAGTAATGCTTCCTTCAAACTACAGTGCCATGTTTACTATTAAGTTGCATTCAAATCAAGAGAAAAAAAAATTCTGTCTTGTATACAGAGCCATGAAAAATTGGACCAGAATACACTTGGGACTTTTAAAATTATTAATTGAGTATTCTGACAATTCTGAGTTTTACTGCTAGTGAGATCACAGTGCTTAGAGGTTAGCTAGTGCTTTTGATTTCTAAGAACTTTTCAAACACCTGATTTTAAATATGATCACATGATAGAAATATTATAAGTTAATAATTTTTAATTTATTATTATTTTGCAGTAATATTCAGCACATGAGGGAACAGTTTGACTCACTAGGTCTCTCTTTTACATGGGAAAGGGTAAGATTTTCTTTTTAAATGGATATTTTATTTTATTATGTGATGGAACATTGAAAGCCATGGAATTTCACCATTTTATTTATGACAATGTAAAAGTCTTTGGTAGTGACCAGTTAAAGTTGTTAAACTGTAAAATCGAGCTTTTTATCAGTTTTACCTCACTTTTGGCTACTGATGTCATCTGATAATGTCAATGTTTAGGAGACTCTTTAAGTGATTTCAGTTTTGCATTTGAATTTTTCTCGCTGCTTTTTCGTCTCTTTGAAGTATCAATTTTCTGTGTTAGAAGTAAATAGTCTAAACAGTTATTTATGAAACAGCAATGTATTTGTGTTGAGGTATGTATTTTTTTTGAGGAGCACTCTCCTCAATGTGTATGTCAAGGGCTTAAAACAAGTAAATTAAAATGGTGGCTTGGTTATGATATTCCAAATTTTGAAGCATAAGCCTGCATTTTTGTAGGTGTTCGTATCATGATCGTTTTGGAAAACATAAATTTTATTTAAAACACTAATGCTTGAGAATCAGGTGTTCACCTTAAAAAACTTACCAAACATGATCAGACATGAGCTAATGTCATTTTCCAGTTAAAAAAAGAAATTAATGTTTGAAGCAATTGTAAGGCTGTTGCATTTACCAGTGAATCAGTCAGTCACTACCTTTATATTCTCAGCAATAACTGTTACCACCTTAATGTGATTTTGAATAGAGTGATGGAGATGCTAATCTTAGATTTTTATAACAGTATTGTACATCTGAAAAGGGAACACATTACTTTCTGACAGTCTGAGACATGCCATCTGTTTTCTTTAATTTTGAAGGTGAAGTTGTTTATTTGTATGTCTTACATCTAAAAAAACATTTCATCATGTCATATATATGGCAAGATTTTTCAGTATAAGCCTTTTTAGTAAGGTTTTCGTTTTCTTGGTAGCCAAAAAGTTGCTCTGAAAATAAGAGATTTGTTGTGGAAGGTTCACGTCATACATGCATGACAGTTATTTTCTTATATTTAAAACTGATGGTATCAAGAAAACTGAGAAAATTAATCTCCGGGTATGGACTTTTGTTTAACCCTTCCATTCCAAAGAACAGATGGAGAACTGGCAGTACTGAAAAACATGGCAGGAAGTATAAGTACCCAAGGAAAAATCATTTGTCATCTCTGTGCCTGTTCTTTGAAGCTTACTCTCACTTTCTAGTAAACCATGTTTTGGTTAATGAACTTTGAGGAGTCTCTGAATACCTGTGGAAGGGGCTCTGGCACTCTACAACGTACTCCACTTGAACTGTTGTGTAATTGAAATACTCTGTAATGCCCTAGCGACACGTAGTTTGTGGTTTTGAAAGGTAAGATTTTAAAACAGCTAAAAAGTGTTCTTTGAAACACAACAAGTTTTAGAGTTTTCACTCCTTAGCTAACCAGTTAAGTTTTAAGTAGAAAGCCTACGTTACTAGCTGGAGTAAGAGTGATCTGAATGGTAGCCATTAGTAACAGGTATGTTTATTCGTTGCAAAAAATGTGTGATGCCTAAAATGTTATGTGATCTCCAAATGCATAGATATTTGAGCTAGCCATGAAAGAACCTGTGGAAATAGAAGCTGTAGCAGAATGTGTTATCCAGGCTGATAAAGCCTGCTTCTCTGCAAGGCTAATCAGGCTGGGCAGAGCATCTTACTGCCTTAACTGTACTGCTTCTGGGGTAACTCAAGCATCGTGGCACAGCAAAGCCCTGTGCTGTGAAGGCACCTACCAAAAAAATGAGCTCTTTTAGGTAAGGAGTATTTTTTTAGTATTCTCTACTTGTATGGCTCTAAATCAGGGGGCTTACAAAACACTGACACTGCAAACAAACCCACTAGCATTAGTGACTCCTATGAAAAATCCAAGTAAGACACCTTATATATGTGCTAGTTTAGTTAACCAAAGCCATTATACAAAACAAGTGTTTGTTTTAAATTTCATTTCACTGGGGTTGCTTAAATCTGCCCCTCCATTGTGCTAGAGCGTAGTGCTAAGTAAATATATGCTGTAGGGAGCCCATTCCCCTAACTTAGATCCCTATTGTAGTGTGTGTTGAATTGCCTTTTTAGAGTGTGAACCTTTTAACTGTCCCTGTCCTCTGTGGCCAGCTTAGAGTATATGGCTAGGTGATGGGAAGGGAACTTAAATAAATTTTACCATTTTAAAAATGGTAAAGAAAAAAAGTTAGGGGAGGAGAAAGTCCATTTTGAATACCTAGTGCATGTAGCTGTGCTGAAGAATCTGGCTACTTATAAAGTCATGTCTGGTGGTCAAGAAATTCCTGTCCAGGAATATGAAGACGAGGTCTGATTTTTTTGCTTGATAAAATTATTATGAACAAATCTCAGTGCACCTGCAATAGTAGAAATTTCCTTTTATTAATCTGTGGGGGTTTTTTTGTTGTTCTCTGTCTTACAAATCAAAATGTGCAAATATATTTCTGTTGTAGCAGTCAGTAAAATTATTTAATCAGTGAGGCACCACAAATGAGACATTATTAAATGCTAATTAGGTGATTTTGGACAGTCAGGTTACAAAGACACTTTAAAATTATTCTCCTGAACAGAAAATGTAAGCAAGCGAAAAATGTAATTAAATGCATAAAATAACTATAAGTAGTTTGCTTTAGAGTAGTTTTAAATACTGATAGTAATCTAAAATTTTTTACCTGAAACATGGAGGTATTTTAAGTTCCTCAAGTAAGAAATGCTATATTTTTAAATCACTTTGAAAATGGTGCGATTTTGGGGAGATGTTTAGAAAAAACAGTAAGAGAGAGAGCATTTCTATTCCGAACATTTATGTTTCTCAGATGCAAGGTTACAAAGCTGAAGTTTCAGCATAGAAGAAATATCTCTAAGAGACATTAAAAACACCTGCAAAATTAAAAAATCCCAAACACTACAGTTATGTTTTGGTTTTAAGATAACAATAATCAGGGCATTCCTGGTGGTCGGATTTTTCAAAAAAACCACCTCAGACAGCATAGCAATCTTCCTGCCACTTTTTTTTAAACATGATTTTCAAGGGAATTAGACAGTATAATATTCAAAGATTCGTGTCATCAGCAACAAGGAATGGAGAGTATATAACATTTTTCCTTTCTTTTGCTCAGGAGTGCCATCAGACTGAGTGCATGTTCCCAGCAAGCTATCAGTTCACCACTCCTGTTACTATCAATCTGTAACTTTGTCACAGAAAGTAGCTCATTCTGCATTTCAATTTCTGCGTTCCAAGTGACATATTTATTTTGCATGAGAGTAATGTTCCCCTTCTGCTCTGTACGTTAAAAAAGACAAAATCTTTGGTAGATTTTCTTTGTGCAGATATTTTACTGTTTAGATTTAAAGTTGTCATTTTTGTGTTCTGCCTGAGCATGCATAAAGCTAACAGTACATAGAGCATTACCTGTGAAATTTCCTTTTCATCCACATATCACTGATAATCAGTGACCCTACTTATAATAAACTAAGAAAAGAAAACTGTTGATACAAGGCTACTTTTTTTTTTTCAAGGAAAGGTATTTCTGCTCTAAAATGTAGGCACTGAATGACATTTGTATTTGTAACTAATCATAAAACTAAGGGCCTTTGAAATACAAATATTCAAATTAATTTAGAAATGTAGGTTGGTCTAGCTCTAAACCTCAGAAAATCAAATAATTATACTTCCAGATGAGGTGTTACATGCCCTTTAAAACCAAAATAGGCAAATAATTGATTAAACTATTTAATCTTCCCAAATAGAATTTGAAAATAATCTGCCCAGGATTGTCTCCTTTAAAATAAGTGCAACATGCCTGTCTTCAAGATAGCATAAGACTGTGGTAAAAATAAAATTATTGGCAATAAACTAGGACATTACTTCTCTCCATTTATATGTTATTCATAAGGCTTGGTGGATCTTAGATCAAATAAACCTTTTCATGCAGCCTGTAAATACTACTTTTATTTGAAAAAAAAAAAAAGAAAACCATGGAAGAAGCTTGAAGATGTAACCTTCTTCTTAAAAATGCTAGTAAAAACCAGTTATAAGGTCAGATATTCGTAGTAGAACAGAGCAGATTTAGAAAAAATAATGAATTTTAAAATGGAGTATTTGAAAATTAGTTTTTCTTTTGTTAAAAACACAAAAATCTTTCATCCAGTTTGAGTTGGTTTCTTTCAGGTTTTTTTTTTAATGCAGATTCTTTCCTGATGGTTTTCCCATATTTTTTGGTAGCTGAAAGGGATTTTCTTAAACCATGTTTTTTCATAATGAATGGCCCTTTAACCTTAACATATATCTATTGCTTCCCTCTTGCAGTGCTATCAGATCTGAATTGTAATACTCCATTTTAATCGGTAACTGAGAATTTATTTGCAAAATACCAACCCCTCCATCGTGGTATTTCTTAGGAACAGATTTCTGTGCTGCAATAAATGGATTAAGCAAGGTAGTTTTTAGTAAGGGTGGGGGTCTTTCTCTTCTATAACTTACCAGTACCTGGCCTTTTAAAAGCAGACTGTTCTTATAGGTGGTTTGTTTTAATTGTTGTGATGAATTGATTTGATGACTGTAACCAAGGATAAAGAGGTATTTTGGTGAGAGTATCAGATACTCTATTTGAAGCTGACAGGAGGAAAAGGGAAAATGGATGGGGAGAAGAGGGAGATGCTTTCCCTCCCATTTCATATTACCACCCGAAAAGCGGAGGTAATGGGTGATGACTAAATCTGTCACAGAGCACTGAAGAGCAAGTGCAGTAGACAGCTGAGCAGCATCTTACATATTTGTAAAAGGGTCCTGATTTTTAGTAGGTATTTTATTTTTTGAGAAAATATGTTAATATCATGTTATATATATTCACTGAACTGTTTTATGATTTGGGGTTCTATATGTGTGCTGTTGATGCTAGTGCTTAGATCACAAATGAGAAGCAGAAAGAACAGTTTTTGGTAGGGTGGAATGGCTCCAGTGTGCTATTTTTCAATTCTTTTTTATAAACTCTTTTGTGTATTTCTGCATTAAGTTAGTTCTGTTAATGCTCTGCAGATCTTTGTCATGCATATAAAGTATAAATAGAAACATTAACATTCGCCTTAATTTAAGCATGATGGCAGCATAATGGAAACTTTTTACCAGACATCATTTATTTAATCAAGATCAGTAACTGGAATACATAGAAAATTATTTTTAACTGTAAGTCTTAATGTGCTAAATGATAGGAAAAAAAAGACCCAATACATATTTTGGGATTGACAAGAGTTTGCTGGCTTGTCTTCAGCAGCTGATTTCACTTGGTAGTGATGTAATTTCTCTTTCTTCATTAACTTCAAATGTTACTCCAAACCTTCATGGTTTTAAAGTTAAATTATGAACTTGAGTGATCTTTTTGCACCTCAATGACCACACAGCAGATTTTTTTTTCCAGTGACACAGTCTGCTGCATTTCTTTCTAAAAAGTGTCAATTTATAACTTGTGAGAGACCACGTACATGTGATTCTGTTCCCAGGAGTTACTTTGTATCTCATAGCTCAAGCTTGTGTGGCTTGCAACATGCTTGTTTAGGTTGGGACATGTAATCTTTTTGTTTCAGAAAGCACAGATCTGCCCTTCAGGGCCAGAAGGACAAATCTCCAATCATTTTACAATTTTTTTTTGACAACTCACTTCTGTTGTCCTACCTGTTTGTCTCTTGCTCGCATAGTCTTATACTGTACTGAACGGGATTGTCTCCCTTCTTTTATGTGTCCAGTATTCCAGGGGTGAAACTCTATTGCCTGTACTGGCATCACACTGGCAGAAGAACTGTTGTCACTGTGTGAAGAAGCAGGGGAAAAAGAAAAGAATTACTAAATGGATAGTGTTTAGTTGGAGAGATGGAAATCAGGCTTTTATCAAGTGGGCTTTTTTTCAGTGCAGAGCACAGGGAATTAATCAAGCAATTGTTTTTCATTACTAGGTCTTCACATGCTGTGCTGAAAACTTGCCATTAAAAGTCTGTTTCTGATCTTGAAAGCCTCTTACACACACTTTTGAGGCACATCTATTCAAAGGTCATATTAATTGTTAAAAGCAATGTTTCAGCACTGGAATATAAAGTTCAAAGCAACTAGAATATGAAGTTGTAGAAAAAGAATTAAAATTTTATGCTACAGTGTTTCAGATGTCATTTGAGTAGCAGATGATATTGCAGGAGTTATGTGTAGTGGGAAGCTTAGATGATAGGAAAGCCCACGTGAAAGACTTTTCACATTTGGAGCTATTCCTGGTACTTGATAACTATTTGCAAATGGAATAAATTTTATCAGTGGCTTACTGAGAAAGTTTTTATCAGTAACTCTAAAATCAAGAGATGTTTGTGTTGATTTGAAGTTCAGCCATCTTCCACTTCAATATGTACAAATGTGGTCAAACAGAAAGTTTGTAGAAATGTCTCTTCTTTAAAGAAGTGCACGTTAAAAAGAAAAAGTGTGGGGAGGGAAATCTAGTCTCTACTGGTACATATTAAAGATGTAATGAGAGCTTAAATACTGAGTTACTCAGTTGTTTTCACTTTGGCCAAAATTTAAAGTATGTGGGTACAAGCATATGGGTTTGCATTGTGCCTGTGAAACCTGTGTTTGTGTTGAGAAAGCTGAGAGTCTGTAATGATGGAATCCCTTAGTCATCTTTGCATATTACTTGATATTTACTTGAAATGCAGTTTATTTTTTTAAGAACAAACATTTCAGATATGGAATTTCGTTAAGCAGTTGGTCAGTAGGTTGTTTTTCAATTATTATATTTCACTAAAAACTTAGAAAATGTTTTTGACTTTTGAAGAAAGCCATCCATTATAGTTACTTGCTATTGTCTTAATTCCCATTCCTCCTTCTTTTTTCTGTCTTTATTTCCCTCTTAACAGTTCCCCTCATTTGTGACTTCTTTTATGGCTCATTTTTTCCATCCTTCAAGCTAGAGCCTTCTCCTAACTTGAGCTGCCTTGACTTAAGAAGGAGTTGCTTATTGACCTTTGGATGTAAGATGTCCTTTGCAAGTCTTTCATCTTGAAGTTTAGAATCTTACCCTGTATTCCCTCCTGTCTGCCCCACATGCTCTGTCTACCAACAGCCCGGGTTCCTGTGCGCTGTTGTTCCGTCCTCCTGCATCCAGTGTTTCAGCTGTAGGCTCCTCACTCTGCTCATTTCACTGCAGCAGCTCCCAGCCCTCTGAGCAGTCAGCAGGCTCAGTTCCTGCTTTTCATTGCTGAGCAACAGAAGGAAAAGGCAACCTGGCTAGGATGGCTTCTTTGACAGAGGTCTTTTTTTTCTGGTTTTATCTGTTTCCCAGCTCAGGCAGCTGTGCCCATTTCCGTTCGTCTTCTGTTCTTGTATCCATCAGCATTAATGTTACAGGATTCTTATATTCCATGTTAAGAGGGAAACTTTTCTTTGCACATCTAACCCACACGGAGCCTGTGTTCTCTGGGTTCGCGTACAGGTGAATATCACTAATTGCAAACGTTACAAAAATGAGGTTTGTAGGTGAACACACACATGAAGAAACACTTATGTTTTCTCTGTGAAATATATTATGCAATCCTGAGTTAATTGTCTATGCTAAAACCATGTAAGAAAATACAGGAATTTTTATTTTGTTTGATTTCTACAGGAAGTAACCACTTGCTTGCCAGAGTACTACAAATGGACACAATATCTCTTTCTTAAGCTTTTTGAAGCTGGGATAGTGTATCAAAAAGAGGTAGGTGCAAACTTTGAACTTTAATGCTTTGCAGGTACACTAATTTAAGTTATTTGTGTCAGTGGCACATTTCCAGATTGTCCATTCACATTCATTCAGTGGATTGTGCTCTATTAACTTTAAATCATTCAAAATAGAATTAATGTTATATGTAACTACATTTTATATGTAACACATTTTATATGTAACTAACTAATAAACCAATATGAATGGCCATTGTAATGAGTCAAATTAGAAGTGTTTATTGTCAGAGATTTGCATTGAAGTGCAGGATCAGAATATAGCTTTTATTAGTTTGTTTCCTGGCTTTAATATATAATTTTCTATAGATCTTAACCTCCCTCATGAAAATTATGACATTGTGATCATTAGGAGTCTCTTCAGCAGTGAGATTATTTATCTGTATAACATTATTGTGATACTGTCTCAGAACCGATGGGCTTGGATATGACAATTGGAGATTGGGTGCATAGCTGTCCTATTCCTGAACCGTATTTGTGATCTTTAAAGTATTACAGAAGTACTAGATGCCATAAGACTATCACAGCTGTTTATCTGCTAGCAGTACATTAAGAAATTATAATATTTTGTAAATAACACGTATCAGGCTATCTGAAAAGTGAAGGGTTCAGTTCATTTCTTAAGCAGGAGGTGAAACAAAGATGTTAAATGAATAGTCCAGAGAACTCACTGTATAGCCAAGGCGATGCAGTTCCATAATACCTGAACAGCTGCGTTTAAACAAAGCAGCAATTTAGTGAATATTTCTAACTTAAAATGGGAACTAAGATTTTTAAAATATGATTTGATATTTCATTTGTATTTTATAGAAACCAGGAAACCACATAGGATATAATTAAGGATGTACTCTAATTATTCTCTGAACCCAGAGAAAGAGACTGATGGTGAAAGGTAGCATTTAAGATGGCAAGGTGTTACTGAGCTACTTCTCCCATTTGCATAGGCAAGATGTACTCAGAGATCTTAAATGATAACCAGCAAAAAACCTCAATATGTGATATGTACTAACAAGATAGATTTGGTTGGGGTTTTTATTTTTTTCTTGTGTAATTATTTTTGTTTGTAATAAAAAAAATTAAACCCCTGTCTTTGCCATAACAAATATATTTTTATATGTAAATTTGTTTGCTTGGCAAGTGACCCCAAGTGAATCTGAAAAGCACAAGGCTTGCTGCTTCATTCCAAGCAGTGATGATATACAAAATAAATTTTGCATGTAGGCTCCAAGTACTGTGGGATCCTGGAGGTGTTTGGGTACCAGCAATTGAATCTGCTTCCAGCTTCCATCTGCTTTCAAGTCAAGGATCAGTTTGAGGACTTAAATCAGCATCTGTCAACCTGTAGGGGATATAATCTCTGGTGGATATGAACCAGTTGCTTTTTGGCAAGAAACAGATGGCAGAGAGAGCCCATAACCCTGGGTCTCTTTGAACAGTCATATATACTTAAAGCATATATTAATCTCATGTTGTCAGTTTATCTGCAATATATATTAAGCAGTACTTTTGCACAGCTTTAAGTCTCCTTTATTACAATTTCATTTTGGGTACAAGGAAATAATTCATAGCCTTAGTGTGACAATAAGAATAAGACAAGTAGAGCGTTAGCCTAGTTAACACTCTGTGCCAGGAGTATGTGTGTCTGACCAGAAATTACCCTGGCAGGGAGACACAGACTCAGTATGTCCAGGAGCTGCAATTACGGAGGATTAACAATGTCTGTCTGGGTGCTGCATCATCCATAAAAGGCACCTTTATTCGCCATAGCAAAATTCTCTTTCTTTTTCCTGCAGTGCTGATCTAGTCAATATACTGTAGAGAATGTTGACCTGGCCAGATGTGGGTGTCTTGTTGAGGATAATACCTGCCCTGACCCTGTGCTTTTGATTAGATACCTGTAATCTGTAGTGGACCCAGAGACACCAAGACGCCTTATGCTGTAGATACCTGAAGTTGGACGAGACAAATCGTGTCTTAAAAGCATATGGTCTACACTGGCATAGCGAGGAAACTGAAATAATTGGTGTGCTCTGTGCACTCTTGCATTGTGTCTCCTTTGTGTATATGACTTCCAGCAGCTTCCTGGGGTCATAGTTTTCAGAGGCTGTCATTGTCAAGAAGTTACCTTTGTGAGGTATAAGTAGGAACTAAAGATTTAATTTATTAGCGAGGTTCTAGATATTAGTCCAAAGTCTGTGAGAGATGGAAGGAACAAAATGTAACTTTAAAAATTCAAAGACAAGACCTTTCAGCTACTTAAATGGGGCACTTCAGAAGGTGATAGGTGATAGATAAAATGTAACGTGAGCAATAGGAGCACAGTGATTAGTTTTTGATTGAGATACTAAGTCCTCCTCATACCCAAAGAATGCATTTGAGATTTTCAGAAGATGTTTAATATATTAAAACTCTATAGACCTACTGTTTTTCAGTCAGTCTGATTTAGCTCAAATACTAAATAACACTCAATATACTGGATAACTCTTCTTTATTGCTTTGATTATAGGTTTTTTCTCTTACTTTATCTTCATTTTTTAAATTTAATGTCTAAACATTTAATGACACTTTTGGAATGACTGGTAGGATTCTTTTGTGATCTTATATCCTTTATGGTGAGTGATCAGCTAAATTGTTCAACACTATATATATACTCAGTTTGTACTATACGATATATATAATATAATATGTCTGGGATTTTGATTAACGCTCAAAAAACAAGGTTTGTGCAGTTGAACACTAAGATTTATTGCACTTTAACTTTTCTTTAATGCATTTGTGTTGACAAGGAAAGGTGATTCCAAAAGTAATTCACACAGCGGACAGAAGTTATGTGCAGATAATATCAATTCTTTCACTTGAAACATAGTTGACCATTATACAACCTCTTTGTGATTCTGTCCTCTCAAAGTGGACATCCTTTTTTATTCATCCCCTTCAGTCTGACTCAACACTTTTGGATTGGTAGTGAAGAGCTTTCAAGTATCAGACTATATCATTTGCATTATAGTCAATCGGAACACTTACTTATTTAACAACCAAGCAGTCAAGTGTCAGCCTCTCTTGCTAGCTGGATCAGTCTAGAAAAACACTGCCAACTGCATTCTTGGGTCTTTTGAGTTCTGAAAAAGATGAATATTCAACACATCTTCAGCTGAATCCATGTTGCTGATTTAAATGGATGCTATAAAAATGTAGAAAACTCAGGGGTCCGAGGTATACTTCTGGATAATTCTTTTGGTATCTGAAAAGTAAGATTCTATTTTTTAAAGAGGTGCTGAAAATGTTTTTTTCTTCCTGTAACTTTTTTTAGGCCTTGGTTAATTGGGATCCAGTGGATCAGACTGTTCTAGCTAATGAACAGGTGGATGACAATGGTTGCTCATGGCGTTCAGGAGCAAAGGTGGAACAGAAATACCTCAAACAGTGGTTTATCAAAACAACTGCTTATGCAAAGGTATGAGAATACAGTTTTTGGAAATAATGGTAGCACTTAAAGAGGTGACTTTTCATCCAGAAATATTAATCAAGCTGAATGTGATCTTTTACATATGCATGTTTGTGTAATACATAATTGTATAATAATATATGTGACCCATTGCTGTGTATGTGTGTATATAAAAATTACTATCCCTGAAATCTTTCTGTTCAACTCTTGAAGAATTCTAAGTAATTGGTGTGGGATTAAGTTTTAAAGAAATCAAAAAGTATAAATTAGAGGTGAATGAATTCTGAATTCACACGATGATGTTATTTACTGAGAACTTTTCTGCATATTTTGAGTGTAAAGCTGTGCAGTCTTTTGAACTAGAAAATTGTTTGCCTACTTGGCCTATTGGACCTGTGGGCTTGGAGTACAGCCTGTCACCCAGCATTCATTTCCAACTATGTCTGAACCATAGTTCTTTATGGTTACCTTCTCTTTACTGAAGATTCATCTGGACCTTCTATTTTACTTCACTTCATAGTGTACTCTAGTTGATTATCTGTAATTCAAAAAGTATAGTTTCAAGTTATTTAAATACCCTTTTTTGTTCTGAGCTCAAATTTTGATTGTGGTGGGACAGTATAACTTCCACACCTATGAATTCTTCGACAAAAGTTTTGACTTTATACTCTCTGAGATGAAAGTATCAACTTCTTCTTTTGTCTGGGTGAAACTTTTATTCCATCTGAGTATTTTGTGTATTAAGACTTCAAGTACAGATTGAGAAAGTTATTCCCAAGAAAATGTTAAAAATTCATCTTTGATCCTTTTCATGAGTCTTATATTCAAGAAAATAAATTTCCACTCATCCGAGGAGAAGAATGTCTCACTCTAGGTCCATTCATAAAAAAGAGAAAAACTTTAGATATCCTGTGTGGCGCTTTGATTCTTTGTACATAAAGAGGTACTTGAGATGCATGTTTTCTGATTGTGCTGTCTGTTCTGGCAGTAAAGAGGGAACATTTGCTATAGCTGAAGGAAAAATGGATTTTGTCTGCACAATCACAAAATGATCACAATGTTCTGAGCTTTTTTTTGGTGCCTTTGCCGCCAGATTTCATGGTTTATGACCTCTGTGATATTTCAGGGTCTGCACCGAGTCACTTTTTCCCTCAGTTTAAGGCTGGAGCTTCATTAGAGTTTCTACCTTTACTATCTTTTGTCTATTATCTTTATAAAGGTTGTAGGAAGTAATGACTTGTATTTCTGGACTGTATCCATGCTTACACCAAATCCCTTTTCTCTTCTTATGTCCCTTTAAGAGGGGTGAATCAGCCTTAAAGTTTTACTCATCATGACCAAAAGACAAGACTGAGGAGCTTTTCAGTAACCTTGAAAATACCCTTGGCTTACAGGATTATTGCCTCTTGCTCAGTATTCACCCTCTAGAAATGCTGTTACAGGAAAGGCATCGTCCCTTGGAATTATCATGTCTCCAACATGTCACTCTCCAATAAGTAGGAACTTTTGCGTCTACAACACTCCCTCATCTTCCCTGCCAAAGATGTCACCTCAGGAGACTACCATATCCTTTGCCTACATGAAGGGTAAATGTACAAGTGACCTTTTGCTCTTGAACATCTTAGTGGTATCATGAATGAGAGCTGCTTCTGCTTTTCGTTTGGGGGTGAACTTTTATATAAACCCCTACAAAATCTTAAAGCATTGCTACAGAAGACAGTTGAGTACTCTACAGTTCTCTGGAAAGGTTTCCCAAAATTTTGTTCTGTTCATGGCTGGTATTCTGTAGGGTCTATGCTGGCTGATACAACCAGATCCATGAATGATGCCATATTGCTTCGAGCTCAAGTGCTTTGGCAAGCATTGCCTTCATGTTCTCCCACTTCTTGTACAGTGACAGATGCTACCAAGTATCGGCAGGTGGTCTGGATTTTCCTTTTTACTCACCCTCCACTGACTCCCATTTTTTGTTGCTATGGTTCTGGCACACTTTCAGTCTCACTTTGCTTCTTCTGGCAAGGGCTTAAAACATTTGGTTGTAGAGGGAGAAATATTACTTTTTTCTAAATTCCCAAACCTTCAAATAAGAAGAGCAGATTACCAGGCTCTGCTATACTAAGTCCAATATCTGATACTAGAAGGTTTTCATTCTCGGAAGGTTAGGACAAATAAATTCCCTTTTTTTGTAGGTTTTTTAATTTTTTCAAGTTACAAGAGATTAGATAACATAGCATGTTGTGTCTTACTTTCTGAAGAAGACTCTTATGGCCATACAGCGCTGAGTGCCCATGAACTGCAAGCCACAACTAAAGACAATCCCTCAGAGGGAGGCTGTATCTGAGCTAATACTGGCTAAGTCTTTCAATCTCTTAGAAACTCTGTGCCCACAATGACATAATCAGGAAGCTTCACAACAGAATTTTGACAGAAGTCAAATAACAGATCTTAAATGCTACAACTTTGGCTCCTCTTTCCAAATGTCTTGACTAATTATCCTTGAAACTCAACTTTGCACACATTTCTTTATTCCTTATGATAGTTACCCCAGTACTTTTCAAGGAGTGGTAAGAGCCTTGAGTCCTTCCCTCCAAATATGTTTCTGTTGTTTACTTTCTCTTTGGATTCAGGCTATTGACAGTTGATCTGAATCCACGTTGTCCTACACTGTTGAATACCGTGGTTACAGCAATCACTTTTCCTAGTCTACTCCTTAAACCTTCTTCCCCACCTCTTTTCAAAAGCCCTTGCCAGGAGACCGGGCTTTGAGAGGGAGATGTTCATTTACCTTTATCGTTTACAGACCCTTTCATCTTGGAGTGGAGGGTTCAGATTTTACGGAGCTGCTCCTAGTAGATGTGAAGGATAGAGACATCTCTTTAACTTCGAAAAGTTAAAGAGCTTTAATCACTAATAAGATTTCAGGATGATAGCATTAGTGGTGATGATACCTTCACTTCAGCAAGGTGGGTTATTTCGTGTCTCCTGATTTTGAAGACACATATTTCCATAAAGAAATTTTCCTGGCTTACGTAATGGACCAGAACCACTACCAGTACAACTTCCTTTTCCTGAAATCCTTCGCAGCTCACAGACTTCAGATACTTGTGCTTCTAATGATAAATAAATACATATAGGTTCTTTATGGATCTTGCTTTCCTTGTTTGTCAGTTATTTGGGGCTCACCATGAATATGTGTATAATAACTCCACTGCAATTATTTTCAGGTTCATGAAGGCTTAGGATGCTACACTGGTACAGAGCATTTATATCCAAGCTTAGCTTATATGGTGAAGGTTACTTACGATAAGCCACATGCCAGACTCCTGTAAAAGGGACATCTGAGAAGACATTATAAAGATCTGTAGCAGGCCTAGAGATTTCAAATTCACAGTTGACTTTTTTTGCAATGAAACACTAATAAGTAGAAGTTTGCCCTTCCAGAACTTGTCTTGCCCTGAGCTCTTTATACCCTGAGTCAATTGCCCACTGAACAACTTTCATCCAGTTCTGCTTCTTTAGAAGGTGTCCAGAAGGTTAAGATGTTGTCAGATTAGTGTGGTCAAAATCATTCGGTATTTTCTCACGGGTTGGACAGGTTCATGGGCACAGAGCAGATTTAATCCTTCTTTGTGCAAGATGCTTCTCCTGCTTTTGGGAAAAAGTACAGAGCTAAGTGGATCAGGCTCTCAGTGAGCTGTATGTCTAGATTTCTGTTAATCACTGAATTTTAACTACTTTTTATTTTGAAATTAAAAAATGGGAAGGCACCAAGAGATTATCGGATAGTAATTTAATCCTTGCACCTTTTGGGGAAGATATGTATTTTTTTTTCCCACTTTGGCTAGTTTCAGACTTAGAGGGTTAGTATTTTATGAGTGTCCCACTCGTCTTTCTACAGCGAGGCTTTTGTCTGCTTTTGGTATATCATGGGGGAAGCCATTTGATTCTGATCACCTTTTGCTTGCACTTTCAATAGTGACTAATATTTTTTCTGAAAAGTTTACAGAAATTGGAGGCCAAATGTCCAAAAGTTTCACCTTCTTTGCCCTTTTTCTGGAACAAAGCTCTCTGCAGATCTCTTCCCTATTCCTTCCCAAAGTTATATCTGAGTTTTCTGTAAGTTGACATAGCAGGAAAATATGTTGGAAAATATCTTTAGTTTTGGTAACTCGCTCCTCTCCTGTGTAAGAGGAAAATATAACTCTTTCTTTCATAACCTTGTTTCATAGACAGAGTTCCATTCAAGAGATATTTAATGAATCTGCTATCCCTTAATTCATCATGCAAATTACCAGCTAGCAATAATGGCTGAATATGTACGGATATAACTTATTTTCTACTTGGAACATCCACAAATTATTTTGTTGTAACTATTCAGCCTATTTATACTGTGTATTGATAATCATTCTAGTCATCCGTGTTTCTCTCTTTTGCCCATTTATCATCTGATGTTTTCCTTGTGTCTCACAACCTTAATAAAAATAAAAACTAGTCAGAGTAATTGTCATCTGCAATGCTTCAAATAACAACAAGGAATTACATGATCAGTAATGGGCTGTGAAGTCATGTGTGTTACAGGAGTCAGTGTTTCATTCCTACACACACTATTTTTCAGATGTCTGATCTGTTGAGAGGAATCATCTCCTGTGGATTTGCTTTGATTTCCTTACTGTTACTGCACCAGATCATATTCCTTTCTTGCAGAAAAAAATGCAAACAAAGCAGTGTTGGCTCACATGGCAATTTACTATCAGCAATGAATATTTTTCAAAGCGCAAAAATATTGACCATGCTTTTAAATGCTTAGCAGAAAGTATTTTGGTTATGTAAAGTCATAAAGTAATCATGAGCCATTTTTTTAAACTGTAAAGTACGTATGAAATGGTCTAGCAGCTTTTATGGATTTTAAAAGAACATTTTAATTGTTATTTTTCTTTTGACAGATTTCTTTGAGAAAAATATAATGCCTATGCCTTAACTGATGGCATTATTATTCAAATTGTTGTCTG